CCCCAAAACCCCAAAACCCCAAAACCCCGAAAGTTTAACTTGGTAATATTTTGCAATATTTCATTAATAATATAGTATAAATGCTAACCATAGACTCATAAATTTATATGAATCCTTTTATTTCCTCTATTATCCACTAGAATTTCAACTCTTTCAGAAATAAGTTGATCAAAATTTCCATCATATTTAAACAAAAGCTTTTGCATCTACTTTATGCTTATAATCAGATTTAGATATTTAGACCTGACCTGAGTTATTGATATTTATTCTTGCATTTCAAATTATGAACTTTGCTACTGATCCATTTAAGCAGGAAAGGATTTAATTTTACATAGCAAGAATACCTTACTAATTAACAAAAGTTTAACATTAATTTAATCTTACGTTTTTAATTATGATATTTCAAAGTCTGTATCAATAAGCATATCATTGTAAGGGATAAGCTGATTTCTCTATTAATAAAGAACTTTTCTATCATTAGAAATAGTATCGTGATAGCCAATATTAAAAGGTTCCTTTAGTTTCATTCTCACTATAACTATAGTTAAAGCTTTAATAATCAACACTTACTTTTAGCAGCTTTCGCTTCATTGTTGAACATATAAGATGATAGTTTTAAATTAGCTAAATTTTGATCTAGCTATTCCATATTAGATTCAATAATAGGATCATATGCAATTTGATCATCTGCCTTGTTTAAATCTTGCTTTGAGTCCATGATTTATATGCTTTCATACAGATTGTCTTTTCCTATGGGCTAATATGACATTGCTCTTTAATGAGTGATAGATGTTTTATTGAACCTTTTAGGCTTTATATCATTTTGGATATAGCCCAATTCAGGATTGATGATAACAAATTCATCAGCGTCGTTTGTAGCTTAGTTCTACCTCAAGTCAATAGATTTATTAATTATTGAATCTCCGAAGTCCTGAATATTCATCTTTTCCGAATTTTATTCCATTGAAAACTAGTTTTTACTATTTCTCTAAATCGATTATAAGTGAGATAAGGGATTTACTGAGGCTGAAAATTTATTGCTGGGTTTGTTGCTGTTTTTAACCAAAAGCAATTTTTTCCTATAAGATTACTGCTACCGAAACTCATATTTTAGCTTCTATACATCATAGTCAGATCTCTTTTGCCTAAGTCTCTCTAGTAAGTCTTTATTTTCTTGGTCTATCTTTTTAAACTGCTCTTTCCTTACAGTCCAATTTAAACTCCGCACTCTTTCTCTGTAATCTATGCTTTAAGTTTGATAATTAGAGTTAGAAATTGTTGGAGTTTGAGAAATTCCTGGTAAATGTTCGTTGTTACTTGGAGAGGAAATATGCTAACTAAAATAATTTCTAGGACTCTTTTTTTCATAATATTGATTAATTTTCCTGAGCAAATTAGAATTCTCATTTTCAATTTCTTTGTCCCTGATAACCTTAAGTTAAAGGCGTTTGAGATTAATTTTGGGATGTTTTAGCAAGCTATCAGGAAGTTAAAGCTTAAGAACCGGTCTAGCATTTGAAACACTCTTCTTATGATTACTCATATTTATCTTCTGCCATCGTTCGAAGAGTAGTCGATTGGCCATAGGCTAATCTTTATTCATTATTATATTAAATTAATTATAATAAAATGAGTGGAAGACTTGATTAATTGCAGATGAAAAAACTTTGCTATTCAAAAATATTTATTTTCGTTTTTTTCTCTACGATGATGAATGGAGTAATCGGATTGACAAGTTGCGATTAGAATTCTCAATGTGCTTATGGCTGTTGCTCCTAATCTGCAAACTTTTGTATTTATAATGGCACTTGTAAAGATGCTTTGCCAGGTTGGGCTATCTTTTTGATTATCTTTGTGAGTTCTATTAGTTTAGCAATTATCATCGTGATTTGCATTTCTTGTGTAGGGTTCAAAAAGAAAAATAGAGCGATGTTGTTAAAGTAGCAATAACTACAAAAGTTGAGAGAGAATTAACCTGAGCGCTAGTTTGGCGATATGGGAGGATTTTCTCTTAATCAGAAAGGAAATAATTACTATTTCTAATATCCAAGCACCTTCGTGTTTCCAAGAGAAGCATAAAATGTTTAGCAGCCTATTATCGAAGCATAAAAAGAGAGATTAATTAGTGAAGATATCGAAGAAGAAGAGGAAAAATCTATGCTTATTTGAAAATTTTAGCAGCCTTTGAATCTGATTAGGAAAAGAATTCAAGACCTTACTATTAAAATTGAGTTTGTTTTAATTTATCTCTATCGAATGAAGTATATTGATTTACTAAATTTTCAGTGAATGCTAATTACGGGGTTTTGGGGTTTTGGGGTTTTGGGG